TTACGCTAACCGGAGATGAAGCCTCACACCTGGACACTCCTTTCACAACCCTTGGAGATGCCCAAACCTGCCCTGAACCCTGATCCTGGACCTGGTCCCCATCACCGGGTTCAACCCTGGTCCCTTTCCCTTCCCTCCCTTTCCTCCTCAGAATCAGACAGACATTCTGAGAGAAAATCAGGACCATCCCCAGGCGTGACAACCACCCTGCTCACAGAACTCAGCATGCTTGCTGACCAGCAGCTTGGTTGATCACCCTCTGGGTATGCAAACTTCCACCCATTGGTTGCAGGATCATATCCACAGAAGATCATTTCCTGAACCTTTGGACCACCTGCCTTCCGCTGAGCTGTTGGTACCGGCACAAAGCCTTGGACCCAAACACGCGGAAGAAATGCACCTGTGGCTTTTTCCGGTGCAACAGAAAAAACGGTGTTCCCCTATAACGTGGTTATAGGACCTGTTAAAAACAAAGTTGGCAGCTTTCCAAGCTTCACTCCAAAAGCTCTGAGGCAGCCCAGAGTCACACAGCAAAACCCTGACAGCTTCAGCCAGTGTTTCACTCCTGTGCTCTGCCACGCCTCTCTTGAGGAGACTTTGCACCCGTCACCTGGTGACGTATTCCCTTTTCCTTGAAAAACTCCTTCAGAGCAGACCCAGTAAACTGTGACCCTCGGTCGCTCCTAACCCTTGCACCCTGGTGGAGAACCTTAGTTCCACCTCCGCAACCCATTCCTGGATCAGTTGCGCCGCCTCCCCCTGTGATTTGAGAGAGAAACACCAGCCAACCTGGCTGTGGTCATCTGTCAGCGACAGCACAACCTGGCCCACCCAGACTCTCACACCTCATGGGTCCTGACAGATCTGTGTGAACAAGCTCAAAGGCTCTTTGGCTACCCTCCCAAACCCGGGAAAACCATGTACCTTTGCACCTTTGCATGCCCTGCACCCTAGGGACCTCCTCCCACATTGGAGTTTACACCCTTTTGTGCACCTGGGCAACTTCTGCACATCTTCCACACTGGCATGAGACATTCTCTTGTGCCATACATGAACACATGAATCATGACTGGGAACCTTAGCACACTGCGCCTGTGCTTTTCCAGCATTCCCACCACCCTCCAGAGGTGATCCAGAACAAGAGAAATTGTTCTTGTTCACGTTGACCAGTTGTCTCCCCCCTCTGAAAATGGAACAGGTGTCATTTTCAAAGCAAATTTTGTACCCCTGCTTCAAAAGAGCTGGTACAGATAACAGACAACAATTCAGTCCCGGCACAACGTAGACCTCTAGCTCCTCCTGTAAAGGAGAAAAAAACATGTTAGCCACATCAGAAACTGATTTTCGTGTTCCGTCTGCGAACATAACAGTCATTCCAGTTGAAACAGCCCTGCAGTTCCGCATTTCGCCAGCAGGCTTGCTTATCAGGTGACGACTGACAGTAGTATCCAAAACCCAGCGCGTCACCGTGTCCTGGCTGGAGTTGTTCTTCACAGTTGCCATAGAAGCAGTGATAAGAAAACAACCCTCCCCAGTGTCTGAGCCACGTCCTTCCCTTGCGTTCCCACGCTGGCCTCCTCTCCGAGACTGATTCCCATGGGAACTCAGCTGGTTGACCTTGGCAAACTTGGCAACATCCTGCCTTGCCTCTCTGCTCCGGTGGGGGCAATCTCGACGCAAGTGTCCCGTTGAATTACAAAACGTAGCAACGGCGTCAGTGGAAAAACACTGCCCGGGGCTCCTTCCAGCTGGCCTGGCCCTCCTTCTTCCGGAAAAGCACTCCTTGCCAGCTCCGCCCCCTCTGAACCGCCACTCCATTCCAGCACGTACAGTGGAAGACCTTTTAAACGTGCCTTTGGAATTCTTCGCCCCCCCGACCTGCTCACCAGCGCTCCTTGAGGCTAAAACATCAGGAACAGGGGCTCCAGCCATCTCTAGGCTCTCATTCCTTCTCCAGGGCTCTGGCCTCCTGCTGAAGTTTCACGTCTCAGCACATCCCAGACAGCCCTTGCTGTTTACGCCCTTGCCCAACTTCTTAGAGTGAGCTTTCCAAACGGAACGTCCTCCAAGACCTGGCTGTCTGCCATTGTCTTCCGTTCTCCCAAGGGGCCCCAAGCTGTACTCACCAGCTTATTCAGCACCCGTTCTCAGCTGCTCTGAGCTCCGCAGCTACTCTTGCCTCTTAGCAACAGGCAAAAACCTCACGCTCTCTGCCGCAGCTTCAAAGCTTTCCGGCAGCCTCAAGTGACAGTTTTACGATCGGTGATTAGGCTACCCATAACCTGTAGAATTGATTGATTGGTTTGGCGTGACCCCGCTAATTGATTTATGGTCCCAATTAGCTCTTTATAGCCAGTCCGGCACACTTCCCTGCCGCAAGACTCTGCTCCGTCTCCAGTAGCTCCGGTCACGCCTCAGCAGAGTTGAACACAGCGGTAAAAACTGTCACGTAGCTTCCACTTAGCTTCCGACAAACACACAAAGCCTGGTTTGTCTATTTACAGTCCTTTATTCCGACATTTCCCAGAAAACTCCTGGACTCACCACAGCCATGACAAACTGCGTCCTTCCCTCTCAAAAGACCGAGAGGAAGAAGGAGAAACTCCTCCCAGCTTCTAAAGCTGACGTCAGAATGCTGAGGCATCATGGGAACAACTTAACCTGTTAAGTTCCAAACCCCCATAGTTTCTCCTATTTAATTTTTTTAAATGATTCCTCAGAATGCTCTTTAACATAAGATGTTCTCCTGGAACATTTCTTTAGACTCCTTTTTAAAAGGATTACCTCCCTTCTTGCTTCGCTACCCGTTTAGACCCACAGCCTAAATTTGAATGTCTGGCCATCCGAGTCTTTATTTTGGTAGGCCAGGGGACCCGCTCCACAGTAAAGCCATAGATCAGGGGTAGGGAATCTTTTTCAGCCCAAGGGGCCACATTCCTCCTTAAGCAACTTTTCAGGAGCCACATGCTACTGATGGGCAGGGGTCAGAGACAAAAGTGGGTGGCAGAATGATGGATATGGCTCTCCTGTAGTAGGCCACATGGCTAGCTGCGCCTCAGGGAGGAGAACCTTTCGCAGACTTTGAACTGCCACTGAAAGTTCCTTTTCCATGGGCCCCAGTGCTGTGCACTCAGTCATGTATAGGGTTGACCAGTTTGGCTGTGAAGTAGACACAGTGCTAAAATGTCCATAACAAGCATGCCAGGGCTGGAAGAGTTGCCAGACGGGAGTGCCTGTGTAACTTAATCCAATATTGTTGCTAACTTCTGAGGTAATTCCCGTCTTCGCGCCAAGTTTTATGTGAAATGTGAAATAGTTATGAAAAGTTACATATGAAACATCAAAATGAATCACGTTGAAGAGAACGCTTCCCCTTTTCCATGCAATGGGAGCATTTTTACACGGATGACTTTTAAACACTTCTCCACGCTACCAGGCCATAGTAGTCCTGACATTATGAACGTCTTGGTGGCATGTTGAAGTGAATGATACTTCAAATAGCAGCCTGCAAATGGATATCAGTGGTCAAAGTACAATATATTTTAGGCCATAGTTCCAAATAAAGGTTAGTCAAATTATGTAGAACTTTGTCATTAGCCTCCTGTTTCTCCCCTCTCTCCCCTACTGCTAATAGGAAATTCTGCTGTTTTGAGGAGTGTGGTAATGTATGTTTATATGCCTTGCTTGTGCAGTAATATACCGTATTTTTCCCTTTATAACACGCAGATTTTTTCTCCTAAAAAGGAAGGGGAAATGTCTGTGCGTGTTATGGAGCGAATGTGTGGTCCCTGGAGCCAAAAAATCAGACAAAAATCAAATCGTGAGTCACGGAGAAGGGAAACCTGAAAAAGAGGAAGTGGCTGCTTTCCTGCATTCTGCCTCAGGGTCTTACTGCCCACCCGCCTCTGTTTCGTTGCTGTGTTTTGCTCAAACAGAACAAAGAGCAGGGAAAGCCCCTCCCCTCCAGGCAAGAAGAGGGGAAAGCAGAGTCGTTCCTTCTAATTCCTCTCTGTGCTGCGTCTAGGGACTAGCAGGCAACATGCAGGTGGGAGAGAGAGAGAGAGAGAGAGAGAGAGAGAGAGAGAGAGAGAGAGCTGGCTGGTTTGGGTGCTTGGGTGGGGGAAAACTTTTGCCTTTCTTTCCTCCTCCCGTTAAATCCCTCTCCTGCATTCTTAGCCAGCTGCTTCTCTGCACACCCCTCTCATGCTCCTTTTCCCTTCTTTGTTTTTCCTTCCCTCCCCACTTAAAATGTGGTTACAACGCATAGATCCACATGGATCCTCAGGATCTTTGCATTGGGTCACCCCAAATTCACCATCAGATCACATAGCATGTCCATGGCTAGAGCTGCCCCCCCAAAATCACGCACCCCACTCCACTGTTGCCTGGGGCTGCAATGGTGCAAAAACGTGGTTAAAAAGCATGGATCCACATGGATCCTCAGGATCTTTGCATTGGGTCACCCCAAATTCACAATCAGATCACATGTCTGTGGCCACAGCATGAAGCACAAAAATGATACATCCACTGTTTCATTCAGAATGTTTTTTCCCTTGTTTTCCTCCTCTTAAAACGATGTGCGTGTTATGGTCAGGTGCGTGTTATAGAGCGAAAAATACGGTACATACTACAAGACTTTTTTGAGTTTCTGCCTCACAGAAATGATTGCAGGACTGTATGGCATACAACATGTGGCAGTGTGCACAAGCAAGCAAAACAAATGGCAAGAGTGAGGTAAAGAAAAAACGTCTTGTGCCATGTCCAGTTCTGGTGGCTTTTAAAGAAACCAGATGTTTTGAATTGTTGGATCTTTGTGTCTGATGCCGTAGGAAATCTGCTTTTATTATTTCACTTGAAACAGAAAGTTAAAACTAAAAGCTGCAATTTCCAAACAAGTTGTGTCACTATATTTGTACAGATGTCTATAGAACTACGTTGGAGTAAGTGTTTTTAGTCCAAAGAGTATTAACATTAATTGGCTCAAGGTGTAGCTGTATTTCATAAATTTCTAAGTAAGCGTTTTCTCCGCTTCTAGATTGTGTTCTTAACTGGCTTTGGCTACGTTTATGTGGATATTGCTCATCAGTGTGGAACAATAATTGTCACTTTAGCGCCTGAAGGAAGACCAGGACAACAGATCAGTTTGAACAGGTATGCTAAAACTGCTTTAGAAGGTCATAAAAGAGAATTTTTCCCGTGTTCAGTCCTTTAGGTGTGAAGTGACTTATTAAATCTAGCACAACTGTTTGTTTTGTCTAGTGTTGCTGTGTATGTGTTGCGTATGTTTAGACCACATGTTAACTTTTTGTATATCACAGTAAAACATGACAATCTTAACGTCTGAGGTCATGTCACCCTAGGATAAACACGAAATGCCTGGTACAATAAACAAGGCTAAGAGAGGACACACAAGTTTAAAGTTTATTTGGCCAGATTGGCAGTCCTTACTTGCATAGAACTCCCCTTGAGATCTGTGGGAGTTCTCACTCATGATGCAGGGCAGAAGAATGGTCCTAGGCAAACTAGGTAGTCGATCATCTTTATTACAGCTCCTTATGCCCCAAAGTTACAAAACCTTTGTTGCAAGCCACACTCAGCTTGAATTATAACATCACCTTTTTATAACAGTTGAAGTTCTTGGCTTCCAGAGGTACATCACAGAAAGGGCAGGGCGCGTTTTTGTGGATTTTGCTTATATGCCCTATAATGAAGTATTAATACCCCTGAAATCAGTGATTCCCTGTGCTTAGTAGCCCACTTATTAGTTAAGTTTTGCCAAGAGTAGTTAACGCTCTAAAGCAAGCAACCCATCATCAGTTTAAAATAGTTACAGTGATTTAATAAGGGAATATATTGCTTCCATAATGTGAAGTTAATGGTCCATATTAGAAGCGCTCTGTTTTGTCTGCTGCAAAAGAGCCAAAAAAGTAACATGTGACAACGTGTGAGGATATTTTACGTTGTCTTCTTTAGCTTCATGCTACATTGCAAGTACGACCAAGAACTACTGTGCATAAAATGTTATAGTGGAGGTCAAATATATCTTTATGTTAAATGGGTGGGGAGGATGTAACTTGGCATAGACAAGCAATAATACCTCTTTGTATGCTTTGGCTGTAGGTATTTTGATCTCTAAATCTGGTTCCTATTTATAACATTTGCACATTGACGTACCCGATTATCATTTTTTCCCTTGGCTAATTTCATTTGAAATTGGAGGAAACTAGTTGCTGTTCTTTCTCCCCCCTCCCCTACAGAACTCAAGAGCAGAGCCTCCTTCTCAAAACGTTCATCAGCCAGCTGAGCCTCACTGTATATGATGACATCACCAGCCCCAAAACATCGTCTGAACTTTTGCGGTTCACGGTGGACCACATTTACCTTCATATGGTTCCAGTTGCCAGCTACCTTAGGCCTCTCTCTCATGAATTCCACGGAGAGGCCACCAGTGGCCTTCAGCAGTTTTATACTCTCCATATCTATTGTGGAAACCTGCAGCTGGACAATCAGCTTTACAACAAATCCAATTTCCATTTTCCCGTCTTGCTGTGCCAGGGAGAGAAAAACGAAACCACACAGTGGACCAAAGTGCCCAACCTCATGGTATCCAACAAAGATCTGGAAGAATATAATGAAAATTCCTTCATCAAACTCTGCCTCACTCTGTCAGAAGAGCAGAATTTGCTCTTTCATGTGAATGACCTCAGCTTTGAAATGAAACCAGCCAGGTTATATGTAGAAGACACATTTGTTTATTACATCAAAACTTTATTTGAGACCTACCTGCCAGACAGCAGAGGCATTTGCCATTCTGCAGAAGCCTCGGCTATTAGCCGGATACTTCCTGAACCAGTAAGGCAGCATGCAAATGCTTTAGCCAATCCAGTGAAATTAAGGAAGTTAGCAATCCAGCCGGTGAGCCTCTTGGTCAGCGTCCATGCTTCCCTGAAGCTCTATATTGCTTCAGATCACACTCCTCTCTCCTTCTCTGTGTTTGAACGAGGACCCATTTTTACAACTGCCAGGCAGCTCATTCATGCGTTGGCCATGCATTATGCTGCAGGAGCATTATTCAGAGCAGGTATGTTTGTTCCATAACATATTGTACCTTTTTGACATAGCCCAATGTTTGCAGCATGTGACTAAGTGCATGAAAACAGACAATTGAGGGTACACACCGATGATGATCAACAAGCTTAAATCCACATAACTATGATCAGGCTGCCTGTTGGTTTTTGTTGGGAAAATCAAAGATGACCAAGGCTTGGACATCACATTGAGTAAAATGATAGATCTAAAAATGCTATGAATGTGAAATAGTAGAGATCAACATTCTCTTGCAGGCTATTTGCAAAGCCTGTGAGAAATATGGGAATAGTATTCTGATTTTCTTTCTTTTGTCCTAGCCAGCCTGCACAACTCAGAATTCATAGCAACTAATTCCTAACATGAACTCAACAAAAGGAATTTCTTTCATGAAATTATTCAATCTGTCTCGATACATTTGAGGCAAATTATGCCATTGAACACTGTTTTCTTGTTCAATCTCCTTTTGGCTGCCGTTTATGATTAGCAATCTGTCTTTCTTCACAGAATCCTCATGCTAGACTGGCACACAGATGTTTATTGTCCTTTGATCTGAAGAGTGTGTTTGTTTTACTGATTCTTTCCCATACAAGATCAATAGTGAGCAAACAGTCTATTAGATTAATGGATACCTTGTCTCACTTCCATACATGTGCATTCATAAAGTGACTCCATCTCTGCTGTACCTTTGCTATATAGGAACATGTACGTTGCAGTGGAAAAGGAGACCAGCCTTTGATCACCCACAGCCAATGCACAATTGCTTTTGCTGAAACATGATCATTATCTTTCTCCATGCCAATTGCTGTTGGGCCCTGTACCATTCAACAGCGTAACAGTCTGTGAACCACTTTTATTGTGTGTTATGTGCAATTAAGAAAGTCCTACTTATTCAACAGTCACACGCACATTATAACACCATAGCCGGATAGGCTACTTTGTGCTCTTTGATCATACCTGATTCTCTTAAGTGCAAGCCCATGCAGGAGCACATTCATCTACATCAGGGTTTCCTAAACTTGGGTCTCCACCTGTTTTTGGACTACAGTTCCCATCATCCTTGACCACCAGTCCTGCTAGCTAGGGATGATGGGAGTTGTAGTCCAAAAACAGCTGGAGACCCAAGTTTAGGAAACCCTGGCCTATATGGACTGGCACACAAGTGACATGCTATTCTGGCTTGAGTTCCTGGCATCTCCCAGAGCTCTAAGAAAGACCTATGCCTGAGACCATGGAAAGCTACTACCAGTCAGAGTTGAAAAATACTGGGCTACAATAGCATATAGGACGAATAGACTGACTTGGTATAAAGCAGTGTTCTTATATGTTCATTTGTCATTCATTAATTCATTCATTCATTTAAGTTGTATAGTCAATAATGATGGCTTTCCTCATGACAGTCCCATCACTTGGTTGTGCAAATTGGGTACAGCGTCAATTCAAACAGTCTAACAGATCAGACTTCTTAGGATAACAGTGAAGTGGTATGCAATCTGAAAGGTTGAGCCTCAGAATCCCTTACAGCAGGGATGATTCACCTGTGACCCTCCATTTGTTGGACTGTGATTCCCATCATCCCTGATCATAGGCCATACTGGCTGGGCTAATGCGAGCTGGAGTCTCATAACAACCAGAGGGCCACAGGTAAACTACACCTGCCTTACAATGTTACAGGGGATGTTAGGGCACAAAGCTTGCTATAAATGTGATTTGCGTATTGCACTCAAGTATCTTCTGCAACATTTGCATCCTGGTGTGCATATGCAGCGATTTGGGATGGTGCCTGATGAGACACTGCCATTTGGCTGAGTCCCCAAGAGCGAAAAAAACTCTTCAAGTGGTTTTTTGTAGTTTCACATATTTGCAGCAGGATCAGATAAACCCCAAAGGCATAAGTCTTGCTACATATGCACATGTTGGCGGAAGCAGCAGCCAGTCAGCAAGTCCCTGTGGAATGTACCCACACATATTTTTTAATGTAAATCCTAGTATGTAATAGACAGGTTTGTGATGATGACGGTGATGGTGATGGTGATTTGAATTGATATACCGCCCTATACCTTGAGCCCTTACTAGCGTTTGGTTGCATTCATTTGAATCTTTCCTCCACTTGTGTTCAAGCTGTCTCCCAGCTTGTTTCCTTGCCCTAAGCTCTGGAGTATACAAACTTGAGCTTTTCTACTCAAACCACTGAAACCAAACTCCATAAACATTGACCGTTTTTCTAAAGAGGACTATCTCTTGGACTCCTCCATTCTAGGGCTCTGAACAAACTGCACAGCTCAGAGGAACTGATTTTGCCCTCAAACAGGAGCCAGTTTAGGCCTTAGGGTGCCAGGACGAAGGAGAGGAGCAGGTTTTTGTGGGAGGGGGGTGTTTGGTAGCCTGTTTGCGAATTAGCTATTCGGACTCACTGTAGAGTCAGTGAAAAGGCATAGATAGCTCTTAGTATATGAGACTCTGAAAGTCAAAAGGAGACTTTTAAGTTTCAGTATATGCAGAATCAAAGTTTCTGTTATTGAGGGGTCTGATTCATGTAAGTGCATGCTTAACAATATGTTTATTAGTTTTTAGGGTGCCACAAGACTCTCTTGTTGTTCTTGCAAAATTTAATTCAGAGAACAATTCCTTGTGAAGAACATCATCAATAGAAGTAAATTTTGCCCACCTGCTTACGAATCAGGCAGCGTACCAAGTTACTCCAGGATTTGCCACATAAACTTGTTTGACTCATTAATTAAAAGATATAAATCCCTCTCACATTATGATTTGTTACAGAAGTACGTTACTGAGGCATGTTGTTGTTTAGTCGTCTAGTCGTGTCCAACTCTTTGTGACCCCATGGACCAGAGCACGCCAGGCACTTCTGTCTTCCACTGCCTCCCGCAGTTTGGTCAGACTCATGTTTGTAGCTTCGAGAACACCGTCCAACCATCTCGTCCTCTGCCGTCCCCTTCTCCTTGTGCCCTCTATCTTTCCCAACATCAGGGTCTTTTCCAGGGAGTCTTCTCTTCTCATGAGGTGGCCAAAGTTCTGGAGCCTCAGCTTCACGATCTGTCCTTCGAGTGAGCACTCAGGGCTGATTTCCTTAAGAATGGAGTGGTTTGATCTTCTTGCAGTCCATGGGACTCTCAAGAGTCTCCTCCAGCACCATAATTCAAAAGCATCAATTCTTCGGCGATCAGCCTTCTTTATGGTCCAGCTCTCACTTCCATACATCACTACTGGGAAAACCATGGCTTTAACTATACGGACCTTTGTTGGCAAGGTGATGTCTCTGCTTTTTAAGAGACTGTCTAGGTTTGCCATCGCCTTTCTCCCAAGGAGCAGGCGTCTTTTAATGTCGTGACTGCTGTCACCATCTGCAGTGATCATGGAGCCCAGGAAAGTAAAATCTCTCACTGCCTCCATTTCTTCCCCTTCTATTTGCCAGGAGGAGATGGGACCAGTGGCCATGATCTTCGTTTTTTTGATGTTGAGCTTCAGACCATATTTTGCACTCTCCTCTTTCACCCTCATTAAAAGGTTCTTTAATTCCTCCTCACTTTCTGCCATCAAGGTTGTGTCATCTGCATATCTGAGGTTGTTGATATTTCTTCCGGCAATCTTAATTCCAGTTTGGGATTCATCTAGCCCAGCCTTTCGCATGATGAATTCTGCATATAAGTTAAATAAGCAGGGGGACAATATACAGCCTTGCCGTACTCCTTTCCCAATTTTGAACCAATCAGTTGTTCCATATCCAGTTCTAACTGTAGCTTCTTGTCCCACATAGAGATTTCTCAGGAGACAGATGAGGTGATCAGGCACTCCCATTTCTTTAAGAACTTGCCATAGTTTGCTGTGCTTGACACAGTCAAAAGCTTTTGCATAGTCAATGAAGCAGAAATAGATGTCTTTCTGGAACTCTCTAGCTTTCTCCATAATCCAGCGCATATTTGCAATTTAGTCTCTGGTTCCTCGGTCCCTTCGAAATCCAGCTTGCACTTCTGGGAGTTCTCGGTCCACATACTGCTTAAGCCTGCCTTGTAGAATTTTAAGCATAACCTTGCTAGCGTGTGAAATGAGTGCAATTGTGCGGTAGTTGGAGCATTCTTTGGCACTTCCTTTCTTTGGGGATTGGGATGTAGACTGATCTTCTCCAATCCTCTGGCCACTGCTGAGTTTTCCAAACTTGCTGGCATATTGAGTGTAGCACCTTAACAGCATCATCGTTTAAAATTTTAAATAGTTCAGCTGGAATACCATCACTTCCACTGGCCTTGTTATTTGCAGTGCTTTCTAAGGCCCATTTGACTTCAATCTCCAGGATGTCTGGCTCAAGGTCAGCAACCATACTACCTGGGGTGTACGAGCCATCCATTTCTTTCTGGTATAGTTCCTCTGTGTATTCTTGCCAACTCCTCTTGATGTCTTCTGCTTCTGTTAGGTCCTTTCCACTTTTGTCTTTTATTATGGTAATCTTTGTACGAAATGTTCCTTTCATATCTCCAATTTTCTTGAACAGATCTCTGGTTTTTCCCATTCTATTGTTTTCCTCTATTTCTTTGCATTGCTCGTTTAAGAAGGCCTTCTTGTCTCTCCTTGCTATTTTTTTGGAAATCTGCATTCAATTTCCTGTATCTTTCACTATCTCCCTTGCATTTTGCTTGCCTTCTCTCCCCCACTATTTGTAAGGCCTCGTTGGACAGCCACTTTGCTTTCTTGCAAAAGTCTTTCTTAACGAGGCATACCATTGACCAAAAAGTACAGATATGGGAAGGGGAATTGTCTGTCTGTTCTGCCGGTACCTACTATAATTGGCAGCCTCAGTTGATCATTAGCTGCATGACTAAATGTCTTTGTTTTACTTGTACAGCCAATGCACAACCAAACATCCGTAGTCTTCTGATGTCACAGGCTCTCGTCAGGTAGCCTTCATGGGGCCACTTTCTGTTGGGTGCCTGCAAACAATCCAACAGTTGTGTGACCTTTACAATCCCATTTTGACAGTTCTTTTCTGGCTTCCTAAGTCAGCCTAGGCAGACCAGCTGTAGCAACAAACGGACACTGCGTCTTGGACATCAGCTACTCTGCCAGCAAGTCTGAATGATTAATGGGAGAAACAATCCTAGAAATCCTCCATCTCATCCCTTGGGGAACTCATAAGGATCCTCCTTACTAGTACATAATCAGACATGCAGATGTCACTGCTGTTTACAATAAAACAACTGCACTGAGCAAAAAGCCATTTATCTGGCTATAACTAGACTCTGCAAGAAAGTGATCAGCACAGAGCTGTTGGGGTGGATTAAAATAATTCCTTGCGCACTTGTCAAAAATCTGCATCCCCTTTCCCAACACCCCATCAAGCAGTTTGACCTTCACACTCCCCCAAGGCTGTACACTGCATCACTGTAAACTAGCTGTCATGATTCTTTCACTGTGAGGACGTGAAATAACAAAGTTGCTTTACAAGATGTAAAGCCTTCTAAGCAAAATAAGCCTCTGCTCCTATTACTTCGAGCTATTTGAATGCAGCATCCATCTCTCCACACGCAGTTTTAGCAGAAATACGGGAGGCTCATGGAAGGAAGTCATTTTAAAGCTATTTGTGTTTTTGCCAAAGGGATTTCTTTGATTTAGAAAGCATGAAAGATTGCCATTGCTGAATCCGTAGTGGATGAGCTATTTCCCGTGTTTTTCTCAAAGGAAGTTCGTGATGTGATAAATTTTTGTGTAAAAGTGGGATGGAGAGAGGGAGAATAGAGGGGGTTCCCCCCCTTCCTTTTTGGTTAAACTGCTTTTTCTGTAGTTTTAGTGAGCATCAATTCTCCCCCCCCCTTTTCTCTCTCTCCTTTTTCCTTATGTAGGATGGGTTGTTGGATCTCTGGAGATTCTTGGCAGCCCAGCCAGCTTGGTAAGAAGCATAGGGAATGGAATCGCCGATTTCTTCAGGCTCCCATACGAAGGCCTGACCCGTGGTCCTGGAGCCTTTGTTAGCGGAGTATCCAGAGGAACAACATCATTTGTAAAACACATTTCCAAAGGTAGATACCCTGCTGCATTTTTTCTAAGGTTTTTCAAAGACAGCGCTGAAGCTCTCAGATTTGCCGTCCTCATCTTAGTTCTAGCTTGTTGGGTTTCAGCAAAATGCTGGGAGGGTAACAAACCTCACCAACCCTCTGTGTTTTTAAAGCAAGCCGTTCCTTTAACATTATCCTAGAAACACT